AGGGTAGTGCAGATTCGTATTATCATACTTGCAAAAACTGAGAAACACCCGTCTTGCGTGACCTCCTCTCCCTTAGCGAATACTAAATTAGTAAAAAACCCTATTGTTTTACTTCAGGTTTAGCACGAGCGGTACAACTTTTCGATATATGCAGGCAATCTATTCATGCGATCAATAATCAAATTGAAGAAATCTATAATTGTTTTTGTCCGAAAAAAATCCAATTAGTTTTTTTTTTTTTTTTTGTTGAAAAAATTTTAATTTATAATTTCCTTATTAATAAAAATATTTGATAAAATTAAAATGTGCAAAGAATCATTCTATGTAATTTGTGGCAACGTATTAACTTTTTATTAAATATAAAGGCTTATTACGCAAATGAATTAATAAAAAAAAAATTAAATTAAAAAAAATAGAAAAATGGTAGGTAGGATAGGTTCGGGTCTAGATGAAGTTTTTACAAGGTGAAATGACATCGAATTATTCCACTTCTAAAATTCTGTGCGTAATGTGGCTGAATTCTCAAGAGTAAATGGGGTGCGAATATTCTGTTTTATTTTGTTTTGCTTGTGACCATGGTTATTTTCACGATAATTAAAGGAGATACGAGTTAAATAAAACCAAAATATTTTCATCGAATGTCTTACCTTTCTGTGAGCATATTTAGTTCGAAAATTTTAATGACAAAACTGCCGATATATTTATTATTACCTACATTGTTTAAATGAACGGGAATGCTTATGACGCTACTGCCGTATTCATCTCCTAAACATGGAACTATGAAGTGTTCGCATAAGAATATTTGTGAGAAGAAACTTTATTAATATGAGTATATTTTTAAAAAATATAGTAATAAAAAAATAATACGAATCTAATAAATATTTTCTTACCAAATGAATGGAAAATCTTCATTACCTATTTCTAAAGTATTAAAGAATTTCTTAACACCTGTACTTATTACATCCTACAAATATGAGATTACAACAATCAATTCACACATTTACAAATATTATGTTGGGATAAATGTACTAGTAAAGTTAGTAATAAGATTGATCGATCGTAGTGAAGAAACATGCTTAACTAATTGTCTTAAAGTTTTGAGATACTGATCGGTTCGTTATTAAGCGTTTAGAAGAAATTAGAAAACAACATTAATTAAAGGAATCCCAAAGCACAATGAAAGTTGGAAGGATTTATTATGTAATCGGTTAAAAGAAAATCATTTTAAGATTTTGTAATTTTAAATTGCTTATAAAGATGAAAATTTTTTTTACTTTTTTTCTTTTTACATTTACTTTTTACATTTATTAATAATATTAATAATAAAAAAAAAAAAAAAAAAGACGCGTAACGTCACGAGTTGAACAAGTTTCTTTTGATAAGCAATAAATTAAATAAAAGGTCTATTCTTATGTTGTGCATTGTATCTCCAGCCTTTATGAGGAGTACGTAATTCATCTATGACACCAGGAGGGAGTGGAGGATTCAAAGAAACATTCCAAGTCAATTGTCTTGCAATTTCTGTTGAAGTGTCGAAAGGTGATTCTAGGAAATATCCAAAATCAACAATTACAAATTAGAATATCTTTTTTTTTTTTTTTAAAAAAAAAAAAAAAAAAAATCTGACGAATTTCTGTGCTTACTTTCTCGTTCTGGTTCTTTTGGCTTCTTAGGGAAAGGAATGACAATCTTGGTTCCAGCAATCACACGTCTCCATCGCATTGTTTCATTTTCATCAATTTCAACTTTTTTCCATTCAGATCGAACAGCTCTCTTTTCGTTACTTTTTTTATTTTCGCTAGAAAAGTAATTAGAAGAGGTTTAAAAATTTTATAAAGATAAATTCTCGAACAAAACGCACACAAGTACTCACTCATTAACATCATCAGGATGTATATGCATAACATTTGAAACATGTATTGGTTTAAGAACGGGAGCCAACCACCAACCACCAGTTTTATCTTTATTTTCAGGGTTAATTCTATCAAGATTTATTTTAGGTTTAGTCATTCTACCCAGATTAACATTTTCAATCCATATCCTATTACTTAATTTATCAACACTTTTAACTTTTCCAACTTCATTTTTTGCTCTTCCAACCATTACTTTAACTATATCTCCTTCAAAGATTTTCCATCTTTCAATACGATCCCTTGGGTGCACCCATTTTTGTGGTCTATTGAGTCGTCTCATTCTTGCGTTTCCATCTTTAAATTTCGACCAATGTTGTCGTAACATATGAACCGGACCTTTTTGCATTCTCGATGACATTTTTGATAAAATTTTGGTTTTTTTTTTTTAGAGAGAAAGGGGATGAAGATATTTGATTTCATGATCTACAACTGCCAATATAATTCCCGATCGGCATTTCGTACGACTTTTGTAATTCATGACTAGTAAATCAATTTTCTTTTTTTCTCTTTCAATTAAAAGATGCATTCGTTTCCGGTTGGATTATTAGTATGTGATTTTGATGAAACCATAACACAGAATGATTCAATTTGTGAATTGGCCAATTTAGCATATGACAAAAGAGCAAAACAAGGGAAATGTCCACCCTCACCACCAAACTGTCCACCTTTGAACGATAAAGACGAAGAATGTCCACCACCATGGTCATATTTCGTCGAGTTATATTTTAAAGAATATAAAGAACATGTTAAACGTTGGCATGAACGAAATCCCGATGATACAATTCAGGATCATTTTAAGATGTTAGAATCGTTAAAGAAAGTTGAAAACATTTCAATTGACAGAATTGAAAGATACGATTGTATGAAAGGTGTTTGTGATAACGAACTAATTGAAAAAGGGAAATCGATAAAGAAGAGAGAGGATGTGTTAAATACGTTAAAAAAATTTATTTCTAAACCTAAACATGAAATAAATGGGATGAACATACACATGGATAGGAATTTATATATAATTTCAACGAATTGGTCCAAAGATGTTATATTGGGAAGTTTATTCGAATTAGTATTAGAATATAAATTTGATAAAAGATTTATCTACTCCAACGATTTAATATTTAATAATAATTGTACTACTGGGAAATTAAATCGTAAGGTTTTATGTGCTACTGATAAGCTAGAAATATTTAAACAATTCCACACGCCAAAAGATACCTTGTCGGTTTATATTGGTGATTCGGATACCGATTTACCTTGTCTACGTGAGTATCAAGATTTCTTTTAAAAGCGTAGATTTTAAATTAAAAAAAAAGTTAATTGCGCGAATTTCTCCTTTATATAGTGCAAGCTAATATTGGCATCATAATGGGAAATAATAAAACTTTAACCAAATATTGTAACAAATACGGGATAGTAATAGTGGAAGGATTAACGGATCGTGTTGAAATATATGATGGAACAGAACAAAAGAATGGAAAGTTATATAGGGTACAAGGTTGGAAGGAAATTGCTGATAGTGGTTTATTAAATTGAACATTCTTTTTATAACATGAAATTCTAAAAAGATGCTTTTTTTCTTTAAGAAATTACGTTATTTAACCAAAGACTATTTAATTTGAAGTGAAGATTTGTAAACAAGGAGATTAGAAATTTACTCCTGATTTACATAATTACGATTTTACATTCATTTCTGACCACTAAAGCGATTCCTCCAAGGATTTTTTTTTTTCTTTTATCTTGTTTTTCTTTTTTTCTTTTTTCTCTTTTTTTTTTTTTTTTTTTTTGGAAAAATTCAATTACACCGTGATTACATGATAAATTAAAGTGATTTGGTTCAATAAATCATACATGACCTCTCTTGGTAGTATTGAAGAAGGTTTTCACCACGAAAACTTGAATAGCAGCCATTCCAACGATTAACATACTTTCCAATAAAGCGAACCAGAAAATTCTATTTTCAGTACTTTTAACCGTCGAAAAATTTCTATTTTCTCTTGTTCTAAAATACTTTTGAGTCCTAGAAATAGCGCTTAACCTACTACCAAGTCTTAAACAACTTTCTTCCATACTGCTTGTGTGTTCGGGTTGAATACCTTTTGACGGTGGTAATTCTGCTCTCGGTTCATTTTCAATGGAAATCTCAAAGTCAACAAGTTTTTCTGCAAATGTTGACATATCATTGGCAAAACAAAATGAGTACTCCCCAACAAAATTTGCCGTAAAGACGTAATCTCCTTGTCTTTCTCGTTCTCCGCTTAATATCATTTTATTACGTGGGTCTGTTACCAAATAATCAATGTCAAAAGATCCACCACTTTGGACCTAAAATCAATTAATTAAGTCTTCTTAAATTATTTTTTTTTTTTAAAAAAAAAAAAAAGGGTATATCTAACATCTGTAACCGTACCGCGAAATAAAAAGAGACCTTTTCGCCGGGTTTATCGGCCCATACATAAAAGCAAGCTCTCTCATGAGCGGCAACGTTATACGTTAATGACGTTCCTTCAGAAGTTCTGGGGAATTTGAGAAGACATAATACAAGTAATGTGAACAAAAGTAGAGACGATGTTGACTTTCTCATCTTTTCAAATTCTCTTTTTAAGTTGGGAAGGTTGGTATCAATTATTTTCATTTTTATTAAAATCGATTATCCGTGTAACGTGGATTCTAATTGGCCATGTTATCATTTTTTTTGGTCAATGAGAGTTTGACACATGGCATAATTTTTAAAATAAATATATTATAGATAGATAATCATGAAAGTAATACTGGTATTTTATTATCGTTGATATATAAACTTTAGGAGTAAGTTTTACATATTACTTTTTGTCTCCCATCTACGTTTTGTTTCAAATCTATAATAAAAATAAAATTAATAATTGTAACTAATTATCATCATCATCTTCTACATAACAAATACATACCCCCAAATTAACTTGGGCTTTTTCTTATTATCCCTTTTTTCTTCTTCCCTCTAAAAAAAAAAATAAAAGAAAAAATTGAAGTGTGAGAAAAGCCAAATTACAAACATTTTATCAAAAGTGATTAGGATATACCTTTTTCGTTTCATCAAATTCTTTTCGTTCTATCGCTTCGAGAACCGCCGTTTCATATTTATCTTGCGCGAGTTGATCACTTAACATTGACGCTAATTCTAAATCACCGTTGTCAACAGCCTTATCAAGTTCCTTTTCTAGTTCATTCTTTGCTGACAAATGACCATGATCAACTCCCTTCAAATGTTCATTCATATGCATATATTTTGCTATACTTTTGGGCAATGTTGAAGGGTCAGTTATATCGAACGTCGTTTTTGTTCTTTGCTTCTTTGGTTTAGGATTATCTTGAGCTGAATGTTCTGATGCTTTATCCGTTTCTATTAAAAAAGTTTTGGTTTAACTTATATGAAATTGGTAAAAGGATAAAAATTTAATAATAAAAAAAAATCATTTACGATTTATTATAATGGAATTATTCGGTTTTTTTGCTTTTTTATTGGATTTGGTTTCAATTTCTTCCCGTCGTCTTTTCAACTCTTGAAAGCGATTCCATTTTTCTGCTTTATTGTTTACCGGTGGTTGCTTTATATTATCTTTATCTTGGGAAATGTTATCAAGTGAAATCTTCGTCCTTGGTGTAGATCGAACGGTATATTCGTCCATTTCGATTAATTGAATCCTTTCTGGTTATATTTATAATGGTTTGAATTTACCTGTTAAAATGATCAACGATCGATCGGCATCCACCTAAGATCTGTGTAACAAACTTTTTTCTCTGTCGCTATATTCTTATGATTACTGAATTTCGACCCTTGCATTATTATTCCAAAGGTTAATAAAAAAAATGTTCCTTTACAATTTAACTTTACAACCTCCAACTACGATAAACGTTGCTGTAGTTGGTCACTTTTCTGGTACAAAACAACAAGAAATTGTCGTTTCCAGGGTAACTCGGCTGGAACTTTTAAAAGCTGATCCAAATTCGGGTAAATTACAAACGCTTTTGACTCACGATGCTTTTGGAATAATAAGATCGTTGACTCCTTTTAGGTTAACCGGAAGTTCAAAAGGTGCGATGATAGTTCCGGGAGAATGGAAAATTGCTTTACAAAATATCTCTGCTGCGTTGATATTAATTATTTGAGTGTGTTCATTGGTCACAAACTTTCATGTTACAATAGACTATATTATAGTCGGATCAGATTCAGGGCGTATAGTCATTTTAGAATACAATCCAATCAAGAATAAATTTGACAAAGTTCATCAAGAAACTTTTGGTAAATCAGGATGTAGAAGAATCGTTCCCGGTCAATATTTAGCAGTAGATCCAAAAGGCAGATCTGTTATGATAGGTGAGTCAATAGATTTATCTTTATTTAGGAACTTGTTTAATGAATTTTATTATTCCATGCTAAAGTTATATGCTCTTTTTTTTTTTTTACCGTACAAGGTGCAATCGAAAAACAAAAATTGGTCTATATTCTTAATCGTGACTCGGCGGCTAACCTGACTATATCTTCGCCGCTGGAAGCACACAAGTCACATACGTTAGTTCACCATTGTATAGGTTTAGATGTTGGATACGAAAATCCAGTGTTCGCTTGTTTAGAAGTAGATTATTCTGATGCGGATATGGATCCAACAGGCGATGCATTTAATAGTACTGAAAAGGTAAAATATCATATTATTTCTAGCGGTTGTAAGACATGCATACATACATACATACATACATGTCACGCAATTCGTTGATCAAAGGAATCTTGAATTTTTTAGATGTTAACTTACTATGAATTAGATCTTGGTCTAAATCATGTCGTGAGAAAATGGAGCGATCCAGTTGACGCTCGAGCAAATCTACTTTTTCCAGGCAACTATTAATTATATTCTTGTGATTTTAACGAATTGAGCTCCTAATAATCGTAAAAAATTTTATGTTTTCTTAGTTCCTGGTGGAAACGATGGTCCATCAGGTGTATTAGTTTGTTCAGAGAATTTCATAACGTACAAACATCAAAGGGTACCTGAACTTCGAATACCTATACCACGTCGCAGAAATCCTCTCGAGGATCCTTCACGTGGACTAATCATTGTAGCAGGTGTCATGCACAAAATGAAAGGTGTCTTCTTCTTTTTACTACAAAGTGAAGAAGGTGATATATATAAAGTTACACTTGATTATGAGGATGATAGGGTGAACGCAATTAAAATTAAATATTTTGATACCGTGCCTGTCGCGGCGTCATTATGTATACTTAGGGCTGGTTTCTTGTTTGTAGCCGCGGAATTTGGAAATCAGTACGTTGGAATGTTTTATGATAGTCCTTTATTTTGTGTACCGGTTTTGATCATCAATCTTAACTGATATATATTGTGCGCTATAGTCGACTCTATTCTTTTACAAGTCTCGGCGATGATAACGATGAGCCTGAATGGTCAAGTGAAGATTTTATGGACGATGATAAGGACATACCAGCGGCAGTGGCATATTTTACGCCGCGAGATCTTCAAAATCTAGAACGTGCAGATGAATTGGAGAGCTTAAATCCATTAGTTGATGCTAAAGTATTGAAACCTTTTAATTCCTTAATTAAGTTTATAAGATGTTTACTAATGTCTTTTTTTTTTTTTTTTTTTAATCAATCTAGGTTTTGAATCTTACGGATGACGACACGCCTCAATTATACGCTCTATGTGGAAGAGGCGCAGGATCAACATTTCGTATATTAAGACATGGTCTTGAAATTTCTGAAATGGCTGTTTCAGAACTACCAGGAAATCCTAATGCCGTTTGGACTACGAAGTTAAAGTCGGACGGTATTATTATCATTATGAATCTATGCTTTCAAATATTTTTCTTTAGATCAATCAGATTAAACGATTACTTTTCAACTTTACAAATTTAGACGAGTTTGATGCTTATATCATAGTATCGTTTGTAAATGCTACACTGGTGTTATCTATTGGCGAGACGGTGGAGGAAGTGACTGATACTGGATTTCTTGCCACAACGCCCACATTAGACGTACATCAACTTGGTGACGACGCGTTACTTCAAGTTTGTATTCATGTTTAGTTCGTTAATTATTAGAACGACTCAAATTGTCATTAACATGCGTGTCATAAATTAAAGATATATCCACAAGGCATACGACATATTCGTGCTGATCGACGTGTTAATGAATGGAAAACGCCAGGAAACAGAGCGATTGTAAAAGCGGCAACGAATAAACGCCAAGTTGTAATAGCACTAACTGGAGGAGAGCTTGTGTATTTTGAATTAGACAGTCGAGGTCAATTAAACGAATATCAAGAGCGCAAAGAAATCTCGTCTAATGTAACATGTTTAAGTGTCGGCGAAGTGCCAGAAGGAAGACAGCGATCAAGATTTTTGGTAAGATCGTCTCAGACCGCATTTTCCTTTCATATATCTCTCCGTTGTCACATTTATTGATCAATATTTTTCTTGGAAATTAGGCCGTAGGTTGCGATGATAACGCCGTGCGAATTCTTTCTCTCGATCCTGATAATACGTTGGAAGTACTTAGTACTCAGGTATGTCTATTGAGCTCCTTTTACTTTAGTTCTTACAACGTCTATTCTAACGTGATTACATCTCTTTCCACTGTAATTCTTTTATAGGGTCTTAATGCGCCTCCGCAATCTTTATCCATCATTGAGATGATGGATATCGGTACTGACGCGTCTCATGGAACACTTTATCTTAACATAGGGTTACAGAACGGAGTTTTACTGAGAACGGTGTTGGACACTATAACAGGCTCATTGACAGATACGCGGCAAAGGTGAATTATCATTTTATTTGTTTTTTTATTTTTTTTTATTTTTTTTTTTTTCTCATTTTTTTTTAAAAAAAAAAAAATTGCAGCACTTGAGATGTTTTCACTTACATTATTCTCTTAGATTTCTCGGTGCTCGACCCGTAAAGCTTTTCCAAGTTACAATTCAAGGAGCTCCTGCAGTTCTAGCTTTATCAAGTCGACCTTGGTTGAGTTATACCTTTCAATCTCGATTACATTTAACGCCGCTTTCCTATGATATGCTTGAATACGGTTCTAACTTTACTTCGCCTCAAGTACCCGAAGGGATCGTTGCTATTTCAGCTAATACGTTGAGAATTTTTGCCGTCGAAAAATTGGGAACGGTTTTTAATCAGGCTATAATACAACTTAATTACACCCCACGTCATTTTATTCTTCATTCTCCTTCAAGAAACTTTGTTGTGATTGAGAGTGAACATAATACTTATTCTCCGATGGAGAAACAAAGAACCTTGCAAGCAAAGATAAATGAAGGAAAACGTTTTGATCCGAATTTATTGGAACTTTCACCAGAGATATTTGGATTACCTAAAGCAGAACCTGGAAAATGGGCATCATGCATTCGCATCATCAACCCGTTCCTAGGTGAAACAACGTCAAAATATGAATTTGAAGAAAACGAAGCTGCATTTAGGTAAAAATTTATTAATCCATTGCTTATATAGATTTTGAGAAATAAATTTATCTTTACTAATGTTCTTGAATTCACTTCAGTATTACAACCGTTAATTTCCATGGTCATAATAATGAATTGTTTCTTGTTGTAGGAACGGCCAAAGACGCAAATTTGGCACCTCGTACATGTTCATTAGGATATTTATACGTGTATCAATTTAGTGCTGATGGAAGCGACTTAAATCTTCTTCATAAGGTAAAGATTTAAGTGGTAACAATGACATAGTTATGAAATGTTTCTAATTTTATTTATGTCTACATAGACTCAATGCGATGATATTCCATTGGCGTTATTGCCTTTCCAAGGAAGGCTTTTGGCTGGCGTTGGTAAAGCGTTAAGGATATATGATTTAGGAAAGAGAAAATTATTACGAAAATGTGAGACAAAGGTTTGAATTTTATCTTTTAAAAAGAAACAATTCCTTTTAATTTAATTTGTACCTTATATATCTATGAATCGGTCAATTAACTTTCTTTTATTGATAGGCGATTCCAAATTGTATAGTGAATTTACATACACAAGGCAATCGCATAATTATTTGTGATATGCAAGAATCGGTTCATTACGCATCCTATAGGCAACACGATAATAGAATTATTATTTTTGCTGATGACACTACTCCACGATGGATTACATCTACCGTAATGATAGATTACGATACAATAGCTGGTGCTGATAAGTTTGGAAATTTCTTTATTGATCGATTACCAGCTGAGACTAGTGAAGAGGTTGATGAGGATCCTACCGGAAATAAAATAATGTATGAAAAAGGATATTTAATGGGTGCTCCTCACAAGGTATTTCATACTATATCATACGAAAACTTCCGCTCAAATGTGTACCCACGCTCTTTATTCATTTTATTTTTAATCAATTGGTAAACAGGTCTCAATGATATTACATTATCATGTTGGTGACATTCTCACATCGCTTCATCGAACAACTCTTGTTGCGGGAGGGCGTGAAATTCTTGTATATACTGGTATTATGGGTAATATTGGAGTATTTGTTCCATTCTTAACTAGAGAAGATATTGACTTTTTTCAAACACTTGAAATGCATATGAGAAATGAAGCACCACCATTAGCGGGACGTGATCATTTACAATATCGTAGCTTTTATGCACCCGTTAAGAGTGTAGTGGATGGAGATTTATGTGAACAATATAATTTATTACCTATGGAAAAGAAAAAAATGATCGCTGACGAATTAGATAGAACTCCCGCAGAAATTCAAAAGAAAATTGAAGATATGAGAGTTATGACAGCGTTTTAATGCTTTAGATATAAATATTTTGTCTCTATTAAACTTGACCTTCATTTTGGATTTTATAATTAGCAATTTTGTGAATGTAATCAAACAAAAAAAGAAAATTTTTTTTTTTTTTTTAAAATACTATTTTCTTAAGCACAATTGTATTTCAATAATAGAATTCCTATACATTATAATGTTATACCTTTTTTTTTGTTCTTAAATAACGAATATCATAATTTATTTGTTTTTTTTTTTTTTTTTTTTTTTTTTTTTTTTTTAATAATTATAATTACGAATAAAAATAAAAAAAAATTTAAGACTTATTTAGAATTCGATCTGAAAAGAATAACTTAACATTATGATATCAAAAAAGAAAAAATAGTAAAGAGTTAATTATCTAATATAATAGATAAAATAAAATAGCTAAATTTTATCAAAAATAAATTTATACATATTAGTTTAATAATATAGCTTTGTAAGTTTATTGTTAAAATTAAAACTTCATCTTAATTGTTGTAAAAAATTTTTATGTCAATGTGATGCAGCTTCTCTTTCTGTTAAAGAACTTATATTAGATGTAAAAACAAGATGAAATTCTATTTATGATATAATTAAACGTAGTTTTAAATTACGTGAGGTTAGTATTAAAAATTTATTATTATCCCTTAAACTGTAGAGCAGGCAAATTTGCCTGCGAATATAAAAAAAAAAGTATTAATTTTTTAATAAAAAATAGAATATTAATGTTAATAATATAATTATTATATAAAAAATATAGTTTAATATATATTTTATCAACTTTATTAGAAGAAATTTAAGTTTATTAAGAAGTTTTTTAAATAATTCAATTTTTAAAATTAAGTTTTGAAAAAATTTGTTATAATATTTTTTAAAAATTTTCTTAAAATTCATATGTTTGCAAACTAATTAAATCATTTTACTATTAATAAAAGTCATAAAATTTCTTAGTAAATTATAAAATTGTAATAATTAAAGTTATTCTTTATGATAAATTTTATAATATTCTATTATGATTAATATTGCTAAAAGTAAATGTTAATAAGATGGTCAAAGGTCAATGATAAAATCTTTTAATTTATAATTTTTTTAAAATTTACAAATTTTTAGCTTATGAGTAACCTTAAATTATTTACTATAATATGATATATATTTATAAAATTAATTTAAAAAAAAAAAAATTTTTAAAAATTTTAATTTTTTATAAAAGTAAATCAGAAGGGAATTTATAGTAAATAAGCAAACAAATTTGCTTACGAACCTTTACAGTTTAAGGGATAACTAAATTTATAAAAATTTATTAATATTATTATAATTATTAAAGACTTTAGGTAATATAGAAACATCTGAATGGAAATTAAGATTATATATTTTAAATGATTGTAAATAGAATTTATTAAAAAAAATAGAAAATTTATTAGAGGTAAGAAATAATATAATTAATCATATTATAATATTTTTTTTAATTAATTTATTAAATTTATATATAGTATTTTGCACAAGTAATAAAATGTATTTCACATAAAAGTTTTTCAACTTTAACAATTACAATACCAACCTATAATTAATAAATAAATATGATTGAAAATTTTCAAATAAAAACTTTAACAATAAAAATAAATACTGCTGCTACAATAGCATTAGAAAAATTAAAAAAATATTATTATTATGCAAATTTTAATACTTATCCTATTACTACTAGTAAGTTTTATTTATTTTATTTATTAATTTTAATTTATTATTATTAATTTATAGTACTTGATCTATAATTAAAATTATCATATTATATTGATAATCATTAGGAAGAAATTTTATTGAAGAATTTCATGAAATTTTTACTTCTTATTTCAATATGCATTATGTATCATCAATGATAAATTTAGAAAATCTAAATGAATGTTCTAAAAAAGATGATGATTTATTAAATCATATATATAAAAAACAATATGTAAAAAATATTAATGAAATAAAGCATTACCTTAATACTTCACTTACACCTTCAAAGACTAATTTATTACAATAGTGAAAAGTAAGTAATATATTTTATTAATAATTTTATATTATTTTTAAGCTTATTAATTTTATTTATTTTTTTAGTCATAATATACTTATTTAGCAAAAATGGTAAAAGATTTTTTAACTATTCTAGGTAAATAAATTTAAAATTTTATAAAACTTTTATAATTTTAATTTTTTAATCAATCTAATTTATATTTATTTTTAAGCTACTAGTATTCTGATAGAAAGAACATTTTCTAAAAGAACTGATCTAATTACACAAAAAGATGTAATTTATCAATAGAAACAATTAGAATGTGTATTTATCTTAAATATTAATAGCAAACTATTTTAAAGAAAAATAAAATTTTTTTATTTTGTGTTTTTTAATTTTGTTTTATTTTTTTTATGATTTTAATTTAAATAAAATAATATATAAAACTTATATCATAAAATTTAAAATAAATTTTTTTATATTTAAATATTTATAAGTTAATTTAAATTTAATTCAAAACTTGATTTGAACTTAACTCAACTCAAATAAATTCAAGTCAAAATCAAGTTAAATTAAACTCAAATTGCGTCAAATTGAGTTGAGTTTAAAATTTATATAACTCAAATTAAGTCAAGTTGAAAGATTTTATAAAATAAATTTAATTCAACTCAACTTGAAAAATAAATTGAATATAGTTGATCTTTAAACTCAATTCAATTTGACTCTTTTAAAACTCTACTCTAAAAATAGATTTAAAAAGGTCAGGTATGACTATTAAAGATTTAGTTTAACGTATTATCTCAAATAATATTAGTAAAAAAGACATAAAAGTTATAGTTAATGTCTTAGCTGAATTTATCTTTAATACTGATGCTAGCTCATTACATTTCTCTAGACTTCAAAGAGAATTGTAAACTTTTAAAATCTCAAAAAAGATAATCTCTGCTATAAAAATTTCAGACATAATCTATTTAGCTAATAAAATCTAAAAGGAGAAAAGTTTGTTTCGCAAAAATGAAGAAATTGATTACCTTGATCATTTTGCATTAAAATCAGTCAAGAAAAGATTGAATGAGTATGACATATCCAATATACTCAACTTATAAGCCCTAACTGATGTGATGATTATACTTTATATTTGCTCTACTGAAATTAAAAACTTGCGTATATCTAATAGAAGTATAACTAAATACACAAAAAATTAGGGTTAACAAAATATCTCTCAGGTGTTTAAATTACTAGAAAATAATAAAGAGCAAACTATAAAATTGCTTACATAGATCCAGAAAGTAATTTCTTATAAATAGTTAAGAGATTTTAGAAAATCTAATACATTATAATTTAATATATTTATAAAAATGATAAATTGCTACTTTTTAGCTTTTTGCATAATCTAGAAGTAAAATTTACAATAGTGATATATAGGCCTAAAAATGTATTGAAAGCTAATATTATTGCCAGTGAAGCATTAAACATAGTCCTAATAATAACACTGCACAATTATAGAAATATACTATAATAAATTTTCATCAAAGAGAAGAACCTTATGATTAGGCAAAATTATTCAAGATTTTTGATAAAAACTAATAATATAGTAGATTAGAAGGGTTCACTTTGTAAATCTAGGATATAGTTTATTAAATTTTATTTTTTTATTTGAAGTAAGATATAACATATATAAATAATACAAAAATAACAACTGATTAAAAGCATTTATCTGATAGTATATTCAGTGAGCAGGAAGTTATCAAATATATAAAGAAATTAATTCAGATATTTAGATTAAACTAGCAAAATGCAAAAGTGCATAGTACACTTTCTGGTAAAAATAGAATACTAAAGAAATAATTGTAAGATTATCATTCCCAATATAATGCTTTACAAAGAAGAATAAAAAGATTGGAAAGAGATGTAAAGTCTTTAGAAACTGAATTAGAAGATCTAGACAAATATGTAGATAGAGAAGCTGTAGTTGATTTAATATAAAAAATAGTTCCTTTAATAATTAGTAATAAATATAAAAAGAGATCCAATCTAGATTCTGATAAATAGATATAGAAAAAGTTATTAAATGGTTAGGTAACTATAAAATGCCATTAACTTAAACAAGAAAATATTATTGAGAAATCAGTTAAAGACAGATTCTGAATCTGTAAAGCTAATTGTATAGGAAGGTAGAAAGATATAATACCTTTATTAAATAAATAAATAAAAGTAGATGAATTATTATCACATTATCCTATAAAGAAATTTGAAAAGAAGAAATTTGAGAGATTAGGCAAGGATTAAAACAATAGTTAATCTTATTTTTTTCAATTAAAATTTTTCTAATCATATATAATACATATAACTAATTTACTTGATCAATTTATATTAGAATTAATTCTATTTATTCTAAAGAATTTATCAATACAGAATCTCTATAATTGTCATAGTATAAATAATACATGGAAAAAAAAATAAATCTCAAACTATTTAGAAGATTCAAAAAGAAACATCTTTTATATCAGAATCTTATATTCTATAAGTTATATTACTAGCTTGAAGCTTATTATCAAACTGTCAAAAAAATAAGGGATGCAGAGATCAAATATTGATTAAGCAAATAGGCTGTATATTCTAATTTTAGTAGAAGAAAAGATATTTTTAAGAGTCTCAAGAATCTTATGATTATGGAAAAGTATGAACAAAATTCTCTTGATATTTAGTCATATAGTTATCATATAAAATCTGTCAGCTAACTACAATGATTCATTATGTCTGCATCAAAGACACTACTTATTATAAGTAGTTCCTTTATAAGAAAATCTCTCCTCTTAGTCATGGCAGTTGATGTATATAGAAATGACCTATTTGTTAACAGACTTTCAATTGCAGATCATAATGACAATTCTCTAGCAAAAGAAAATGAACACACAGAAATAGATTATATTCCATCTAATATATCTCTTTATAATTCCTCTCAGATTCATAATACTTCAAACATTAAAGAATATCTATTATGCAGTCAGTTCTATTCAATTTGAAACTATTACTGTAATGACAGTTACGAAATAACTAATATATGTCAAGATACAAATATTAGTTAACAGATAATCTATGAAAAATGGTCGATCATTTCAATCCCATTAGGAGACCATCTTATAACAACAAAAAATACATTATGACTTTGTAAATACAGTTTAAAAATAACAAACATTTTGTTATATAGTATAGGTAAACACTCTAAAGTAATTATTATGCTTTATCTATTTTCCTGAGAAAAAATCCTTTATAAGAAGAAGAATTTTATTTTTCTGATAATTATGATATTTCTATTATTTCTACTTCATCATCCTTTTTCATAAGAGATACCTCTTCAGATGTTTTATTAAAAAAAATAAGAAACATTCAAAACACATATATAATTGTACTAGAGCAACAACACAATGAGATCAAGGTTATCATTCATGAAAAAAATTTCAACTTATGTAGATGATGATTTAACTACAGTCTAATCGAGATTAGTCAAGTATGTGAAATTTCCTATACTATCAGTTTAACAAAAAGTCTTAGATAAAAGATCTGAGAAGTATTAAATATTGCGTAATAGTATGAAGAAGAAAAGATTGGCAAGCAAGAATATTTATTTTGATTTATTTCTAATAATTTGTTTACTTAAAAATAATTAACATTGTCAAATCTTTATTTTAAACTCATTAGCAATTAAAAACGATATATATCAATTTTTCACTTTTAATTATATTCTTTAATTGACAAAGTTTTGAGTGTGATCATTGATATAATAAAGGATAGGTATGTGTAGACAAATCTCCAGAGAGTAAAAAAATTAAAATAGAGGAAAAAATAATTTATATATAATAGTCCATAAATATCAACATAGAAACGGATCACATTCTAAATTATATATAGTATTTGAACTGTATTTATAGTTGCAGGGCAAAACCTTAAACTCATTTTGGCAAAAGTCAAAACTTTTCAAAATTATTTTGACAGTTTCAATGAGTTTTGACAGGTTTTGACAGGTTTTGACAATTTTGATAGGTTTCAATAGATTTTGATAGTTTTGATGGATTTTGATAGTCTCAAAAGTTTTGACAGTTTAGACAGTTTTGATAACAACTTTGCAAATTCTTAAAAAGGATGTGAATATATACTATCTCACATAGACTAATACATAGATTATTATATCAGATGATTGTTTTGAAAATAAAATTAAGACCTTATCATATTTTAATCTATCAAAAATTATAGTATTGAGTTAAAAAATTCCAAATAATAAAATTTTTTTTAATGCTTAATTAATATGAGGATTAGCCGCAATATAAAAATATAGGTATTTATTTTTATTTTTTTTTTAAAAAAAAATAAATAAAATTAAAAACATTCCTTATAAATAATATTTAAATACAAAATATTCTTTAAAGATTAAAAATTCTCACATATATATTACAAATGAGAAAGCGAATAATTTTATTAACATGAATCATAGATTAAATGAAATAATTGTTCATCAAGAGGAATATAATTTAATAGAAGCTATGCTTCGTAAATATACTTATGAAAAATTTTTATATATATAGTTATGATTCTGTTATTTATTAAAAAAATTTTGATAAGATCTAAAAACTTTATATTGAGAGTTGAAATTTTTGTTATATATTTTATAGTAATACTAAAATTGATTCTTAATTTTCCTATTAGTGAATTTTGTCAAAAGAAACTGCTAAAACTTCTTTTGATGAACTGATCACTCATAACAGGCTGATCTGTTAATACTGATAGCTATTATTGAAATATTTACTCCTGTCAAAATTTTTGCCATCCATTGAAATTTTCATAATTTTATCTTTAATAAAAAATTTGGCAAAACGTTTTGATGGGTTTCAATTTTGATATCTGTCGAAACCTTAGAGTTTTGTTCAACAATCTTAACTGTATTAATAAAAAAATTTTTTTTTAGTAAAAATTATCTAGTTGCAATTCACAATGAAGTATACATGATTTTTTTTGATTTGAATAATGATATACTGTGATAAAAATTAATTATCAAATATACAGTCTGAGAGTATTAATTTATATAAAGGAAAAATGCCAGATTTGTGACTAAGATCACTAAGCTAAGGCTGAGAATTTTGAGTTAAAGTTTAGGTATAATGTTGAATTATGAGATAAATGCTAAAATAGTGAAACTAAGAGACGTTAACGAGAGAATAAACAGCAAACCTTTTTTCAATCAGAGATTATTTCTAAGGAAATGATTTTAGGAAATGAGAAGAATAGTGTTATTCTGACTTTAAATAAATACGAGAAAATGTATATATTTCTGAAGATAATAATAGTCATATAAGATCAATTACTAAAAATATATTTAGATTTATTATAATCAATTTATAATTATTTTGACAAACTTGTTGTGATATATCCAAAGGTCAAATTGTTTTCAAACTGGTAACGTTATACAAAGAGAAATAGGAGGGCTTTGTGATATAAGATTATATATATATATTTCTTTCCCCTTACGATTTTAATCTTCTTCAAGTTTAATTAATTCATTAAGTAATGATAAGAATTCTTAAAAAAATTGGAGAATGTTAGAATGAAAATCAATATAACATGAGTCTTAATCAATCACAAACAGAATTACTATATATAGATAAAGTCTGCAAGAAAGATCTTGAAGCAAAATTTCAGATTCATTTTGAGACAATGAAGTCTGTAATTTTAACAATTTAATTCTTCTTGAAAAAGATAAGTATTTCTCAATTCACCTAAAGTACTCTCAATACTTTATCTAACTTTATATTTTCTAAAAATACAGAATATACAAATAAGTTGTACTTCAACGAAGACATATGAGATGTCACTGATGATTTATATGATATCTTGTCTAAATGGTGTGATCACTTTCTTTGAAACTACAATTTAGAGTTATATGATAGCAATCAATTTACTTCATATAAAAATTTAATAGACAGTTACAATGCAATTCAAGAGGATGTACACAGAAAATTCAAAATAATAGCTATACTTTTAGGAATAATATTAAGTGAAATTGCTTAATTGAACATTTATAAACTTAGAAGAAATAAAAAAGCCTACAAGGGAAAAAAACTTTTGCAAGACATCAATATTAGATATTTAAAATGGTTTAACTAACACCAGAATTTAGAGAAGCAATCAAAAAGTGTATTATGCTTATTAATAGAACTCGTAAAATATGATTTTATTTAATAAAATTTACAATGATAAATTTTTCTGTAAGTAAATCCTTTCAAGTTGAAAAAAATTTATCAAAATCAATATCATTAAGTCCATTCTTCACTAATAGTTTTTCAAAATACTTCTGATCAATAACTTTAGCTAATGCTTTACATACTTATATTTAATACCTTAATTGTATTTTTTAACTTCATATTTAATAGTATCATCTTGATTATTTTTTTTGACCAATAATAAAATATATTAAACACATCTTAGATAATTCATGATAAGTATGATTACATGATTTAATAAATAATAATATAATTTCTTATAAGATAAAAGCAGTATCGTCTTAAAAAGAATACCTTTTTTCTGTTTTTCCTATTTCATCATATTTAATGCATCTGTAAGATCCACAATGCTTTTATTATAATTGAAAATTAGATGTTTATTCAGTCTATCAAGAAATTCAAATTAACGTGAACCATTGCAAATTGGACACTAAATACAAAAAAATAAAGTCAATATGATCATTTAAAATAACACGTAAACCAGTTTATGAACTTACCTTAAATGGTCTTTATTGGGTGTGCTCACGCAAATGTTCTGCAAGAAATCAATAATAGTTTATTATAATTACTAAAACATCAGAAATACTTAGCATATTTTTTATACTTTTTAATTTAGGAATATCACTCAGTTACTTTTTACAATCTTCTTATAGACAGTTATAAATTGGAAATCCTCAATAAAAGGATCTGTTTAAGAAACAGATTAGAAAGTTTAAAAGCTAAAAGACTTTTCTTAAGTAATAGTTAAAAAACTCATTTTAAATTGGTTAAATCCTTATGATTATTATAGACGTGATGTTCAAGTTCTTTCTGAATATTAAAGTGTTATAATCTAGAATAAGTACTAAATTATTTACAGACAAATATTGTTATTAAAGTAATACTTTCAGATATGGTAATATTATACCTCAAGTTAATGATCTGTCCCAAATGACAAATTTCAATTTCAGACAATCTAATTTGAAATTTCAAATTTGAACAATGCGATTTTGCTGTTCCAATTTAAAATTAGGGTAAATTGATTGAAAACTGGAAATGTGATACCTTAAGTTAGCTATTATTCCAATTTAAATTGAGAAAATTAAAAACTAAGAACGTAGTATCCCAAGTTAGCTATTGCCCTAATTTTAAATTAGGGCAAATTGAAACTGAGAATGTGATAACCTAAGTTGACTATTGCTCTAATTTAAAATTAAGGCAAATTAAAAATTAGGAATATAAGATATTTCAAGTTAACTATTATTCTAATTTAAAATTAGTGAAAATTAGAAACTGGAAATGTAGTATTTCAAGTTGGCTATTGTTCCAATTTTAAATTGAGATAAATTGAAAACTAGAAATGTAATGCCTCAAGTTGGCTATTATTCCAATTTAAAATTATGACAAATTGAAAAACTAGAAACACAGTACCCTAAGTTAACTATTGCTCTAATTTAAAATTGAAGCAAATTGAAAACTGGGAATATAGTATTTCAAGTTAGCTATTACCTCAACTTTAAATTAAGGAAAAATTAAAAACTGGGAATGCAATGCCTCAAGTTGGCTATTGCTTTAACTTTAAATTGAAGCAAATTAAAAACTAAAAAAGCGATGCCTTAAATTAACTATTGCCTTAATTTTAAATTAAGGCAAATTAAAGTTAACTATTGTCCTAATTTAAAATTGATACAAATTTGAAACTAGAAAATTAATACACAAGTTGACTAATGTTTCAATTTAAAATGGGATAAATTGGCTATTGCCCTAATTTATAATTGAGATGAAATATAATGTTTTAAATTAAATTTTTTCTACTTTAATTTTTATATGATGCATAACATCTAAAGGCATCCAAAATGTAGATCAGTCTGAAATTTTTAAGTGATGAAAATCACGTGATTTTATCACGTGAC